TAGCTGTAGAAGTTAAGATTGTGTTACTGGCACAAGGATAAACAGATGGCCAGGGAAACAGACTGGGGAACCTAGAAACAGATCTGTGTGTGATGTATGACAGAGATGGCCTACAGACCAGTAGGGGAATGGTAGTATTCTTTTTTAAATTAAAAAAAAAATTATTGAAATATAATTGATTTACAATGTTGTATTCGTTTCCAGTTTATTCTTAAATAATGCTTTTGGAGCAAACAAGCTACTGGGTCACACCATTCACAAAATAAACTTCAGGTATCCACATTAGACCCAAATGTGAAAGGAAAGCTATAACTTTAAATAATATAGGAGATACCTTTATGACCTCAGAGTAGGGAGGTATTTCTTAAAACCAACGAGCACTAATTCCAGAGGAAAACACTGATACATTGGATCACACTGAAATTAAGAAATATAAGTGGTACAATAGGAGATACTAGTTATGCATTTAACCCATAAAAGACATACACTGTGTATTTATAATAAATTCTTACATGCCAGTAGGAAAATGGCAGGCAACTCAATAGAAAAAGGGTCAAAGATTTTAATAACAGGTATTTAAAAATAAAGATCCAAATGGTTAATAAATATTTTTCACTCACATTGCTTATGTGGTATAAATTGGTACACCTGCTTTGGAAAAACGTTTAGCATTTATCTACGAAAGTTGAAGATACACGTACCAGTGGCCCAGCAATTCTACCCCCAGGAAATATTTTGTAGAAGAACCAGTGTACCTGTGCCCTAGGAGACCTATACAAGAATGTTCATCCTATTTGTATTACTCGAAGTTGTAAATGACCCAGCTATCCATTGACAACAGAATGGATACCTGATTGTGGTGTATTCATAAAATAAATTACAATGCAACGATGAACGGGTAAACTTACATACAATTATGTATTTGAATCCTACAAACTTTATGTTACGTAGAGGAAGCAAGACACAAAAGAATATATGTAGTTTTATTCCATTAATATAAAGCTCAAAACCAGGCAAAACTAAAGTGTATTATTTAGGTTAGGGATCATACATAGCGGATATAACTCTAAAGAAAAGCAAGGAAGTACCATAGAAATTAGGAGTTTCCTCTGACAGAAAAAAGGGATTAAGGTTCAGAAGCGACATGTCCTGGGTGGTGGTTACAGGGGTGTTCAATTTATAATTATTTAAGAGATGGCACGTTTAGGTCATATGCAAAGAAAATAAATTGGTGACAACAACAAAGGAGATTGAAAGGTACAAAGTAACTCATTAAATTGGAGAGAAAAGGGAATCAATTCCCTGGCAGTCCAGGGGTTAGGACTCGGCGCTTTCACTGCTGTGGGTCAGGGCTCCATCCCTGGTAGGGGAACTAAGATCCCGCAGGCTGCGCAGCAGGGCCAAAAAAAAAAAAAATTGGAGTGAAAAGGAAGGAATTTCCTCTCATTAAGCTCTTGGTAAGTTATAAGAAAAAGTTAAAACTTCTAAAGTTTTCATTTTATAGGCTTTTAAAAATTTGAGGTATAACTTATATATAGTTAGATGCATAGATCTTAAGTGTTCAGTTGGATGAGTTCTATTACACCCTATACCTGCCACTGCAAACGAAGTAGAGAACATCTCCATCACCCTGGAGGGGTCCCTCCTTCTTCCCAGTCAGTCTTCCACCAAGAGGCAACCATTTTCTGATTTATCACCTTGGATTAGTGTTGCCTGATTTGAACTTCACATAAATGGAATGATACTGTATGTACTCTCCTCCAAGTAGTATATACATATAATTTTTGATTCACCTATGTTATATGTATCAGTAGTTCGCTCCTTTTTTTACTGCTAAGTAGCTTTCCATTGTATGAATATACCATAATTTACTCACCCATCTCTTGCTGATGGACATTTGGGTCATTTCCAGTTTTTGACTTTCCATAAGTTTTAAAGATGCGTTGTTTAATTTGACATTTATGGGAGGAAAATTTCATTCACATGCTAGGTTGTTTAAGGAATTGGGCAAAGTATGGCCAGAACTATAAGCTTTTATTCTCCAGAACTAAAGAAATTGACATGTTTGATGTCAACAGACAACTAGACAACATAGTAGTAGCTCCCTGAATGAAATAGGGTGGGTAGTCTTGTGGTTAAGACTGTGGCCTTTATTCTTGGTCAGTTCTGCAGACAGATCATGGTTCTGCTGCTAACTATAATTTTGGCAATTTACTTAACTTTCCTGGGCCTTCTTGTCTCTTCTATATATTAGCAATATAGCGCCTACCTTGCAGAAATGTAAGAATTCAATAGAATGATGTTTGTAAAGTACCTAATTTAGTGCCTTGTGCATAGTACATGCTCAATAATAACTGCTTGCTGGTGGTAATATAATCATTGGTGCGTCTCACCAGCTAGCGTCTCAGAGAAGGGCACATTTTATTTAGGGTTGGGATTTGCTGAATTAAAGCAAAACTCTCCAAGTGATTGAAAAGTTTGGGAAGGACAAGGGACTGTCACCCCCCTCCCATCTTCATTACCCCGTAAATCCCGGACTGAAGGTTGAAGGGCAGAAGGTTGGGCCGTGTTGTTTGGGGCCAGCATGCCCCTGGGTAATGTGACTTGCTTCACTCCTGTCATTGACACTTCTTTGGCAAATCGTGGAATTGTCTTTGGGGACCCTATTACATAACTTTGCAACAAAACATCTCGTCCCACAAAATAACACATTGGGATGATACTTCAGTGGTTTTGTGGGACGCTCATGCTAATGTTATTTTGCTGTTGACGAGACACACCTTAGAGGTGATATACTGTGGAAAACAGTATTTTTTAAAAATCTGTTAAATATTGTCAAGAGGAACATAAACATGACTAGAATGAATAGAAAACAAAAGCTGCAGAAAAAAATCATTGTTTATTTTCTGTAGAAGAGTGGTTAAAAGAATGGACTGTGGAGCAGGACAGATGGGCTAGTTATCTAGTGCTGTGTAACAAATTACCCCAATCATAGTGGCTTAAAACAAAAATGTCTATTATGTCATGGTTTCTGTAGGTCAGGAATCTGGCATGACCTGGCTGGTTGTTTCTGCCTCAGGGTCTCATGATGCTGCAGTGTTGATCGGGGCTACAGTCTCATCTGAAGGCCCAAGAAAGCCAGGATCCCCATTCAGGCTCACTTGTGTGGTTGGTGGCAGGATTCGGGTCCTTGCGGCTGTTGGTTGGATACCCTCAGTTCCTAGCCCCATGGGCTGCTCCAGAGGGTGGATCACTTCCATGCAAGGGAGCAAGCACGGGAGGGCAAGAAAGGGGTGTGTGCAGGCTTTTTGTCACCTCAGTTCATGTCCCATCACTTTTGCCATATTCTGTTGGTTAGAAGCAAGTCACTAGATCCAGCCCACAGGGAGGGGATTCCACCAGGGCATGAGTACAGGGAGGTGGGATCATTGGGGCCATTTTAGAGGCTGTCTCCTTCAATCTGTGCTCTGGCTCCAATGATGGATGTCCCTCCCACATGCAGAGTATGCTCACCCCCTCCCAAGATTCCCAAGCATCTTGTCCCATTACAGCATCAGCTTGAAGTCCAGAATCTCGCCATCTACATCAGGCCCAGGTGGGGATGAGGCTTTTGAGGACAAATCTGTATTTATCACTCATAACAAATTAGCCCCAAATTTGGCATCTTAAAACAACAAACTTTCTTATCTCACAGGAGGGATCACTGGGAACGATCTTAGAGGCTGCCTGCCACCACTGTTTAGATTCTCATCCTTGCTCTGCCATGAACTAGCCGTGTGCCCTTGGGCTAGTCACTTCCCCTTTCTGTGCTTCAGTTTTTTCATCGGTAAAAGCGGACTGATAAAATTACTAATAGGAGTAATGTGATGATTAAGTGACATAATGTGTAAAGTAATTAGCAAAGTCCCTGGCACATAGTAAATGCTCAATAAATGGTAGTCATTTATAATTAATGTTGTTAGAATTGTTATTTTTCCAAAGAGAAAACTTGTGAGGCTTTTTCAGAATGTAGAGGGAAAAGGATAAAGATGGAGAGAAAATGCTAGGCCTGGGATACAAAAGGTCAGAATCCAACCTAAAACCAGCAGTGGTTCCTCTAGGAGCCCAGGGAGATCAGAGCAGAGGTTACATTTATAAAACAAAAACTAAGCAAGAAGTATTTGAATCTGCTGATTAAAGTCTTTCACACGATCCAAGCACTACTAGACTATCAGGATAAGGCAGGGATGCGGGGAGACGTGTACAGTAGCCTCTCTGTAGTTGCAGGTTCCACATCTGTGGATTCAACCAATGGGAGATCAAAGATATTCGGGGGGGGGGAAATCCAGAAAGTTCCAAAAAACACAACTTGAATTTGCCACTCTGGCAACTACTTACATAGCATTTTATACAAATACGACACCATTTTTATATAAGGGACTTGAACATCCTTGGATTTCAGTATCCGTGGGGATCCTGGAACCAATCCCCTATGGATACCAAGGGAAGACTGCAGTTTAGATAAGGCCCTGTGGGAAGAACTGGGTCATCCCCACTACCAGGCCTATTCGTTCGTGACTGCAGACCAGTCCAGTTCAGAAAGTCACCAAGGGAGCCTGTGAGCACGTTGTCTTTACCGTCGGGCCCACAGCTCGGGTTCATGGCCCAGCCTGCACCAGCTTTAGGCCAAGCGGGATGCCTTCTGTGCTGTCCCGTGACCAGTGTGGGAGGGAACAGGTCCCTTTACCTCCTCACCCTGTCTCTCCATCTGTATCAGGTATAAACGAAGGGGCTGGGTTAGAGGCTATCTGAGGCCCTTTATGCTGTACCCCATCCAGTTCAAGGTCAGGGCTATGCTTTTCCAGCTGTGTCCCACAGCACGTGGCCGGACTGGGTTCAGTAAATGTGGTCGAGTGGTACCCACGGTGATGTGCAACTCCCGCTGTGATGTGGCGTGCTGCATCCCTGCCCGGCCTCCGCCCTAACCTGCCTCCTTGCCTCCTTCTCGCCCCTCACGGCAGGCCAAGTGCAGGAACATGGAACACGCACTGCGGGAGAAAGCCAAGGCCTTCTGGGCCATGCGGCGCTCCTACGAGGCCATCGCCAAGCACAATCAGGTGAGTGACGCTGGGGCTGAACGGGGCGACGGGGACACCCGGGGTTGCTGCAGGGAGAGGTGCAGGTGGGCCAGCCCTGGCCATGCTGCTGCCCACAGGGTCGGCCTTTGCCAGCCCTGATGGCCTCGCACAGCCTTGCCCTCGGACGCCGGTTGGGGCTGTGTGGCCTCTTTAAACACCATGCCAGCAGCCATGGAGCAGCTTCAACAGCCCCCTGCACCACCTGCCCTGTGGTTTCAGGCTGACAGCACGTGCCACGCTGCACCACTTGCCCGGCCGCTCAAGCCAGCGGCACCCTCATTCTCACTCCCCACGTCCATGGTCTCCAGAATGCATCCGTCCGTTGACAGTCGTGCTGCACTGCCACCATCCTGGTCCAGGTCCCCATTGTTTTTTCCCTGGCCTCCTACCCGGGCCCCGTACTTCCACTCTTGTCCTGCAGTCCACACTCCCTGGAGTGGGCTGATCTTTTCTAAAAATAGATCGATTGTGTCACTCCTCTGCTTAAAACTGTCCAGTGGTTTCCATGGCACCCATGGCACAGTCCAGACTCCTCACCATCTAAGGGCCTCATCCAACCTCCGTCTGCCCCTCAGGTTCATCTCCTCCCAAGCTCGGCCTGTGCCGTGTGCCTGGCTGGCCTGGTGCAGGATGCGGTGGGGACACCTAGGGAGTGTCCATGTGTCCAAGTGACAGCTGCTGTCTGTCCATCCCAGGCACTGTGGAATTCTCAGCCTTTTCCTCTAAAGTCAGTCAATCCAGGTGGATGAAAAATGAAAGTTTTGTGTTTACCTCTTTATTGAGGGGCTGCCACTGCCAGCATGGGAGTGGCTGGAGCTGAATTTACACTGGCTGGTTTTTCCTGTCTACTCTGTTTTTTATCTTCTGGTGTGATAAGAATCATCCCAGATTTCACTCTTTCCCTCTATACGTTATCAGTCTTTTTACCTGATATTTCAACAGCGCCATCTCTCCTCATATGCATTTCTTTGTTTATTAATAAGTGTGTACATCCTTTCACAAGTATAACAGCCATTTGCATTTCTTCTGTGAAGTTCACATTCTTTTCTCCTTGCACGTTCATAAGAACACTATTATGAAGAAGAAGAAGAATCTACCATATAGGTTGGAAGTGTTTTTCCTAGTTCGTCCTTTTTCAAAAAATCATTTCCCGGGCTTCCCTGGTGGCGCAGTGGTTGAGAGTCCGCCTGCCGATGCAGGGGACACGGGTTCGTGCCCCGGTCCGGGAAGATCCCACATGCCGCGGAGCGGCTGGGCCCCTGAGCTATGGCAGCTGAGCCTGCGCGTCCGGAGCCTGTGCTCCGCAACGGGAGAGGCCACAACAGTGAGAGGCCTGTGTACCGCAAAAAAAAAAAAAAAAAAATCATTTCCCCCTCTTTTTTGGTCATTTTCCCTTTTTCAATGAATCATTTTGTCATCGTATTATCAGAGCCATAAACATATATTGAATTTTCAGTTCAAAGATGTGGGTTACTAACCTGCCATTGCTAGAGCACACAATTCGAGTTGTTTTTCCAAAATTTGTCATGGAATTGTACTTATGTATTTAAATGCCTTACTAGTCTCTTGCCATGTAAAACTTCTTATTTTTATATGTATCCAATTATCTCATTCTTTCTTTGAGGCTTCTCAATTTCATATCATGATAAGAAAGGTTTTTCTCATTCCAAGATGAGAAATAGGTCTCTGCTTTTTCTTTGAGTATATTTATGGTTTTGTTTTAACTTATTTTAAATGGTTTTCATAGTTACGATTAGGAGTGTGCATATTATTAATGATTCAGTTTTAAAATTAAAACTTCCTACTATTTTTTTGGTAAGCCTCTCTATCAAATTTGAGGTCCTAATATTGGAAGGCAAATAATTTGTTTTAAACGATTAGACATTGGATTTTATTCTATTTATTTACTTATTTTGGCCATGCAGTGCTGCATGCAGGATCTTAGTTCCCTGACCAGGGATTGAACCCCTGCCCCCTGCAGTGGAAGTGCAGAGTCTTAACCACTGGACATCCAGGGAACTCCCTGGAAGGCAAATAATTTTTTAAAATCTTTGCTGTTTGCAACAGTTCACTTCTGTGATTCAGGGCTTCCCTCACTATTGCACAACCTATACAGGTACAGAGTATTGCTGAGGAATTTATAGGACTACAGTTGTCATCTATAAGCAGTGATTTTATTTTTCATGTATCAAAACAACCTGATTAGGCTGTTTGACTTATTTTAAACTTATAAATTCGTGCTAAGAAAGCTGCATGTATATTTTGTCTTTCGAGGTTTTGCATGTGATTTCTCCTGAACAATGGAGTTCCTTTGCTAAACATCTGGGAGCCACCAGGCTCGGTGATGGCTGAGGCCCCCTCCCGCCCTCTGCTGCAGGTGGAGGCTTCCTGGCTGGAAGGGCGAATCCGGCAGGAGTTTGACAAGCTTCGAGAGTTCTTGAGAGTGGAGGAGCAGGCCATCCTGGATGCCATGGCCGAGGAGGCCAGGCAGAAGCAGCTTCTGGCCGAGGAGAAGATGAAACGGCTGGCGGAAGACACGGAGGCCCTGGCCCATGAGATTGAGCGGCTGCAGTTGGAGATGAAGGAGGATGACGTTTCCTTTCTCATGGTGAGGAGCTCAACGTCCAGAGTCAATGACAGGGACCAGACGTTCAGGGGCCAGCGGGGAGCCTGAGGCCAGCAGCCCTGGCCGACCCAGCCTTCCTGTAGCTTCTGGACCCCAGGTTGGAGGAGCTTCCAGATGAGGTGCTTGGCTTGTGTCAGGAGGCGTAGGAGCTTTTTTTCTTTTTCGTAGGAGCTTTTAATCAAGACCTTGAGGGCCTCTCCACTCCTCTCTGCCTCTCTCCTTCCCTCTTCCTCCCTCTCCCTTCCTCTCTTGCACTTATTCTTCCTCTCTCATTTTTTGTTTCTTCTCTCTTGACTCCTTCTTGATACAGTAGAGTGCTTTTTAAATAATTTTTTATGTGCGGCTTCTCTAGATTTATGGAAAGTTGCCATTCTGTAGGTTATCTTTTCACTTTCTTGATGACATCCTTTGAAGCACAAAAGTTTTCCATTTTGCTGAAGTCCTATTTATCTGTTTTCTTTTGCTGTTTGCGCTTTTGGTGTCATATCTAAGAAACCATAGCCTGATCCAAGGTCATGAGTTTTATAGTCTTGTCTCTACATTTAAGTCTGATCCATTTTGAGTTAATTTTTGTATATGGTACAAGGTGGGAATCCAGCCTTTTGCATGTGGATACCCAATTGTCCCAGCACCATTTGTTAAAGACCTTTCTTTTCTCATTGAATGGTCTTGGCACCCTTGTTGATAACCAGCCGACAGTAAATATGAGAGTTTATTTCTAGACTTTCAGTGTCCATTGATCTATATGTCCTTATGTTAGTACCACACCATCTTGTTTAGTGTTGCTTCTAATGAGGTTTTCTTTTAAATTGAGGTATGGTTGATATACAATATTATATTAGTTTCAGGTGTTCAGCATAGTGATTCAAAATTTTTATAGATTTATATTCCATTTAAAGTTATTATAAAATATTGGCTATATTCCCTGTGCTGTAAATATATCCTTGTAGCCTGTTTATTTTGTACATAGGAGTTTGTGTCTCTTCATCCCCTCTCCTTATCTTGCCCCTCCCCTCTTCCCCTTCCCTACTGATAACCACTAGCTTGTTCTCTATATCTGTGAGTCTGTTTTATTATATTCATTTGTTTGTTTAATTTTTTTTATATTCCACATATAAGTAGTAACATACAGTATTTGTCTTTCCCTGACTTATTTCACTTAGCATAATATTGTTGTTGCAAATGCCAAAATTTTATTCTTTTTTTATAGCCGAGTAGTAACTTTTAATAAGTTTTGAAACCAGAAAGTGTGAGCCACCAACTTTGTCCTTCTTTTCCAAGATTGTTTTGGCTATTCTGAGTCCCTTGAATTTCATATCAATTTTAGTATCAGCTTATCAGTTTCTGCAAAGAAGCCAGCTGTTATTTTGCTAGGAATTGCATTGAATCTGTAGATCAGTTTGGGGGGGTATTGCCATCTTAACAGTATTAAGTCTTCTGATCCATGAACATGGGATGTATGGCTCCTTTTGAGGTCAGAAGCTCATGTTTTCTCTGTGTCTCTGTTTTTTTCTTTTTCAGAAACACAAGAGCCGAAAACGCCGGTAAGTTGCCAAGGCTGGTAGAGGGGAGGGGAGGAGTCAGCAGAAATACCAGGGGTGCAAACTCCCATGGCTCCAGGGCCAGGCATGTAATGAGGCTGGCTGGGTGCAATACATAGGGAGCAGGGGGACTGACCAGGTGGAGAGCCCTCTTTCAAGGCACCCACTTCCAATTTGCACTGGTGCAGTGTTGTTTTCCTGAGTGTGCAACGTGACCATTCCCTGTGTGGGGAGAGAGTGCCATCGTGCACGGGGACTGTAGTTCTCTGGGGGCCGGCCCCCTGCCTCTGAGAGCCTCAGGACATGCTGGTTTGTGTTGATGGTTGTAGAGTTCACAGGGATGAATACGGAAGAACTGTGTCCCCGTCAGAGCTGTACAAAGATGGAAGAAAGTGCTTTGGGCAGTAGTGAGTTCCCTGTCACTGGAGGTGTTGAAGCAAAGGCCAGTGACACCTTCAAAATGTGGGAGTAGAGGACCCTTAAGGTACCTTCCAACTCATATACCCTGTGAGCTGATGTGTACGTGTGATTTCTGCCCACATGCATGTCTGAGAACCTCCTATTTATATTTATCCCAGTGGGGGCAGGATGGGCTCAAGTACTGAGTCCTGAAGGGGTGTGAGCTGCCCAGTTGGTTCCTCTTGTATTGAGTAAGATGGCCAGGGAGTCTAGGCCTGAGGCAAGGGATCCTATTTCCAGCTGACCCAGTTAGGCCCCAGGATGCATAGCCCTGGCCCAGCACACCAGGCCCAATTTTCTTTTCCCAGCCTCTTCTGCACGATGGAGCCAGAGCCTGTCCAGCCTGGTATGCTCATCGACGTTTGCAAGTACCTGGACTCCCTGCAGTACCGAGTCTGGAGGAAGATGCTCATGTGTGTTGAATCTGGTGAGAGGGGCCCAGGCGGGTGTAAGAGCGGGGAGGTCATGCAAGGCAGAGAGCCAGCTGAACTCACTCCTTCCAGCTTCCCACCCCTCCTCCTCCTCCCCCCACTGGTCCCTTCTCCAGCCTCTTTCATTCAAGCCCCCGTGCCCTGCTCCCCTTCTTGCCCCACTGCTCAAACCCCTCCTGGCCGAACCCTTCCTTTTTGGGTCCTGACTCTTGGCCACCTCTTCAGAAAGAGCAACTGACTTCCCTTTCTATTCTGAAACATATTGTATATATAATATAATGAAAGAGTTCCTCAGTTCAGGGGCGCCTCTCCAAGGTGATTCCAGCCCACATGAGTCACTATATCATGTGCTGTGGACTGAATGTTTATATGTCCCCCCCACCCTCCAAATTCATATGTTGAAGCCCTAACCTCCATGTGATGGAATTTGCAAGCAGGGCCTTTGGGAGGTGATTAGGGTTAGAAGAGGTCATGAGGGTGGGGCCCTATGATGGGGTTAGTGCCCTTTTAAGAAGAGACACAAGAGAGTTGGCTTCCTCTCTCTCTCTCCCTCCCCCGTGTGAGGACACAGCAAGAAGGTAGCCATCTATAAACCAAAGAGGGCCCTCACCAGCAACTGAGCATGCTGGTACCCTGGTCTCTGAATTCCAGCCTCCAGAACTGTGAGAAATATAGTTCTGTTGTTTAAGCCACCCAGTCTCTTGATACTTTTGGAGTAGCAGTCTGAATGTGATTTTACAGGGAGAAATGTCAGTAACCCAGGGGCACGTTACGTGCTTTTGTTAGATGTCACAGGCATTGTGTCAGGGTCAGGATCCCTGCCTTCATTGGCTTCCTGTGGCTGTCCGAACAAGGGACAAAGACTAGACGCTTTAAAATGGCAGAAATTTATTCTTCTGGAGGCTTGAAGTCCAAAGCCAAAGTGTCAGCAGGGCCGTGCTCCCTCTGAAACCTGTAGGGGAGGATCCTTCTCTGTCGCTTCCTACCTTTTGGTATTTGCTGTCAGACCTTGGCTGGTGGCTGCAGCACTTTGACCTGTGCCTCCAATATCACAGGGCTTTTCCCCATTATGTGTCTATGTCTCTTCTCCTCTTTTATAAGGACAACATTCATATTGGATTAAAGGCCCCCTCTACTCCAGTCTGATCTCATCTTAAATACTTATATCTGCAACAACCCCATTCTCAAATAAGGTCACCTCCTGAGATACTGGGGGTTAAGACTTGAACATAGCTTTTTTGCAGGGCACATTTCAACCCATAACACCACCCCTCAGCCCAGGGCAGCCGCCTCCATGCACTGGGCCCAGTGGGACACAGTCTGTCAGTTTAGGGGGACCGGAGGCATCAGGCTGGCCTGACAGCAGGGCGGGCTGTAAGGTTTGCTGATTTCACCCACTCTCTTCCCACTGCCCACCCAGTGCCTTTCAGCTTTGATCCCAACACTGCGGCTGGCTGGCTGTCCGTGTCAGACGACCTCACCAGTGTCACCAACCACGGCTACCGGGTCCAGGTAGAGAATCCGGAGCGCTTCTCATCGGCACCCTGCCTGCTGGGCTCCTGCGTCTTGTCGCAGGGCTCACATACCTGGGAGGTGGACCTGGGGGCACTGCCGAGCTGGCGCGTGGGCGTGGTGCGGATGCGCCAGGACGCGGGCGCCGAGGGCCACTCGCACAGCTGCTACCACGACACGCGCTCGGGCTTCTGGTACGTGTGCCGCACACAGGGCGTGGACGGCGACCACTGCGTGACCTCGGACCCCGCCACATCGCCCCTGGTCCCCGCCATCCCGCGCCGCCTGCGCGTGGAGTTGGAGTGCGAGGAGGGTGAGCTGTCCTTCTATGACGCGGAGCGCCACTGCCACCTATACACCTTCCACGCCCGCTTCGGGGAGGTACGGCCCTACTTCTACCTGGGCGGCTCGCGGGGGGATGGGCCCCCCGAGCCGCTGCGCATCTGCCCCCTGCGCATCACCGTCAAGGAGGAGCTGGATGGCTGAAGCCTGCCCTGCCTGATGCCGCCGGGTCTCGCGCCCCGGTCCCGTTTTCTTTCTGTCTCTTCCCAAAGGCACACTTGCCTTGGTACCTCTCTGCCTCCCGCCTTCTTGCCAGGATCTTCCTGCTGGCCATCGTGTCCTTTTCTGTGGCTCCAGGCCATGTACCTCCTCCCTCATCTTTGGTCCCTTCTCTGCCTACCTTTGAAAGTTATCCAGGAGACACCTCCCTGATTAGGCTTTTTCCAAAGTTGTGGCATCCTCTGGATGTGAATTTTCTGATTCACATTCTAAGATTGCTGGGGATAATGTTTGCTTCTAAGAATGGGTTTGTTTAAAAATGTAAGTTTCATCATTTTCCAAGAGTGGTGAGGCCAGCAGACTGGAAGAGGACTGCTGTTGAGAAGAGTTTGTTACTCACAGTCTCCAGGAGGAGAGTCCTGCCATGGTGGGGGTGGGGTGGGGTTTGGGAAGCACCAGGGTCCTTAGGAGACAGGGGGCGTGAGGGGAAAGCTTGGGTGGGAGACTTATTATGCTTTTCAAGGGAAGGAACAGGCCAGGCAGGGTAAGTGGGTTTATGATTGGCAAGTTGGAATACTTTTGACCAGCACTAGGGCGCAGGGGCTGCCCCTAGGGATGATTAGGACAGGGGGATATTGGCCTGGAGTGGAGGAGCCCTGTGAGAGCCTGATACAGGAGGTGGTTGGGGGGTATAGCTCTGCATGTAGAAGGTTGGCTGCATTTGAAAGGCATGCTCATAGGGGAGTTGTTTGCTGTATCTAGGAATTTGCTAGCCGGAGAAGCCCCAGATGCCAAAGTGTCAAGATTACAGAAAAGAAGAAAATATAGTTAATACAGGACCATTGCCATGGCTTTGGGGAGGACCCATGGCTAGGCTTGTCTGTCACTTTATACCAGTATTTAAAACTGCTCCAGGGGCCTCCCTGGGGCCCTTCAGGGTGAGGTTGGGGGCAAGGCTGCCCATCAGCTCGGCTCTGATTTATTGATTTACACTTCTTGGATGATTTCCTGTGAACAGAGGTTCCAGAGCACTTAAAAACACACAATTTAAAAACCATGGTTTAGACTTGTTCCCTCTGTGGGCCTCACTTTCCTCATCTGCGATGAGATTGTAGGCCTGGAAGGTGGTGCCCTTCTGTAATTGTGTGGAGCATCTTCCTCTGATTCTTCTCACAAAGGTACAGAAGGGAGGGAAAGAGGGGCCCTTTCAGTTAGGAAGGAAGGAAGGGGACGCGGTCCAGGGGAAGTACAAGGAGGGAGGGAGCTCCAGGGCTCTTGTCTTTGCTGACCTCAGCCTGCTCATTCTTGTTCTCCTGGCTTTTGCATTCTCATCCTGATTTCTTCTCCCTCTGCCATGCCTACAGACTCCTGCCTCCACCTTTTCTTCCTCATACCTGCCTGCAGAGAGTTTTTAGTTGTCAATTCACCGTGTCCTGGGACAGTACTGTAAAAGGAGATGTTTTCCCACTGGAGCAGTGTTCTAATGGGGTGCTTTCCTGACCAAGGGCTCACAGACTTTCTCCTGCTTGTGTCCCCTGGTTCACAGAAATGGACATTTTAAGCAGAAATGATGATTCAAAACTAAAAATTGGTTATAAATGGGATGTGTACATCATTGGCGGCCATGGGGAGGGACGTGATAGGATATGCCACTGAGTGAAGGAAGAGCAGGCGTGGGCGAGGGGGTGAGGATGTTGGCAAACATGTGTGAGCTGAGCAGGGCCCTGCTAAAGGCTCTCAGACTCAGCAAAGGTCAAGGCACTTTGCAGCCAACACATCTGAGTCCTGTGTGCACTTTCTACCATAAAGTATTTATCTAGCCCATCAAATATAATTTCTACATAATAATCTTGACCTGAAATTATTTTGTTAGTTGTAATAAACTTATAAAAAATGTTTTTCCTTTCCACCTTAGGTGTTGAAAGAGGTTTTCTTAGAGGATAATTTGCATAGCCTAGGGCCCTTTTTACCAAAATGAAAAACGATATTTGAGCTAAAGCCCACTTTGTCTTTTGACATTTTCCTTTCAGTGTTGTTGTAAACAAAAGTTCATTCACCTTGTATTCCACTTTTTTTGTTTTTATTATTGGATAATCTATTGTATGGATATTCTGCATTTTATTTATTCTTCAGTTGGTGGAAACATTTTGATTGTTTCCACTTTTTGCCGTTATGAATAATGCTACTGTGAACACTTGAGTACAAGATTTTGTGTGGACATAGGTTTTTCATCCTCTTGGGTATGTATCTAGGTGTAGACTTGCTGGATCATATGGTAACTCTGTTTAACCTTCTGAGGGATTACCAGGGACTTTCCAGTGTGGCTGCACCATTTTGTAGTCTTACCAGCAGGGTATGGGGGTTCCAATTGCTCTATATCCTCATCAACACTTGTTATTGTCTGTATTTTAACTTAGCCGTCGTAGTGGGTGTGAAGTGGTATCTCACTGTAGTTTTTTCTTGGATTTCCCAGATGCTTAATGGTATCAAGCCTCTTTTCATGTGCTTATTCTCCATTTGTTTATCTTCTTAGGAGAACTGACTTCAGATCCTTTGCCCATTTTTAACTGAGTTTTTTGTCTTCTTACTATTGAGTTGCAAGACTTCTTTATATACATTCTAGATACAAGTCCCTTATCACATACATGATTTGCAGAAATTTTCTGCCACTCTGTGGGTTGTCTTTTCACTTGCTGGAAGATGTCCTTTGAAACACAAAAGTTTTAATTTTGATGATGTCCAGTTTATTTTTCCTTTCGTTGCTTGTGTATCCTAGATCTCTTACCTTTGACACTGCCCTTAAGCTCAGAGACTCCAGATTCTGGATTTTGGCTCCGGCTTGGGCATTTGTCCTGCTGACAAGGAGCCCTAATCCAAGAGCCCGTTCCTTCTTCCCTTGAGCCCTCCTACTGCCGCCTCCCTCTCTCACTAGCCCCCATTTCACTCTCCTGCTCAATGTGACATCCAGGCTGGAGGTTGACTTAATGATTCATGAGCTACCTGAGCCTTTTGAGCCTCTGCTCCCTCATCTAAATGAGGATTAGGATACCTACCTCAGGCTGTTGTGGGGATTTTGGTGTACAAATGCCATGTGGTATATCCTAAACATAGTATAGATGTAATACCTGTTGGCTAATTCTTCAGAAAATGGGAGGTTTTGAATGTTGACCTTACGAATCATGTAAATGAAAAATCCCAAAGGAACCTGAGAAATGTAAGTTATCCAATATTGGGAGCGCTCAGATTTCTTGAGACTTTTAACAAGAATGTATACACAAAACTTATGTTTATGACAAATTTCAGTAACATGGGAAAATGGTTATGTTGTGATGACCGAGAAGACTAGGATTTATATGTATAGACATGCAACACACACAGAAAGACAGTTTGTCTCTAATTTGTGTGTGTTGTTTGATTAGATCATCCATTTATGTGGCTGTAAAATCCAAAGGTACAAAAGGTTCTAGAACAGTCTCCCACTTCTGCCCAAACACTCAGCTCCCTTCCTTGTGGGCGGTCATTACCATTAAAAAATCCTTCCAGAGAGATTTTATGTACAGCAATACTCTTGTTTTATGAGTATATTCTGGTTCCCCCAATACACTGTAATTTAAAAGCAGATACTCTAGATCTGTATCTCTAAGCAACCCAACAAGAGGAGAACACTCAAAATAAAGGATGTTATTCAAATAATTTCCTCCCCTCCAGGGGGAGGTTTGTTATGGATGTTTTCATGCAGTCAGTTCACTGGTGGATTCAGCTTTTCATTGTTTATTTCACCCTAGGGTTTTAAAACAGGGAAAAACAAAGTGGAATTTAGTTGCTCCTGACATTTGAAGACAAAACTTACACTTGAGACCTCAACATATGTTTTTAAAATCTCAATCCTCACCAAGGTGTCCAGTGACCTACATAGCTAGTGGTTAAGAGGCTGGGCTATGGGATGGGCAACCTGGATTCAAACTCTGCCTCAGCCACTGTGTCACCTTGGGAGAGTTATTTAACTTCTCAGTGCCTTAGTTTCATCATGTGAAAGGATGGAGATAATATCTTAAGATTAATGGAGATAATAACCTACTTCATAAGGTGGTCATGAGATTAAGTGAGCAAATGTGTAAAGCACTTAGGATAGGGTCTGGCATATACTTTGCCGTTGATAGTTTACCGTTGTTTCCCCTGGCTCTGCTACTCCATAGCTCTGTGACTTCAGATAAAGCCATTCGACTTCTCTTCTGTAAACGGGGAAACGAAGACGCGGGCATGATTTTTTCAAGGTCTTTTCCAGTTCTAATGTCCTGTGATTCATAATTTGTGTCCCTAGCGAAGGCTGGGATCCTGCACGCAGTAGGGGCTGCTGATTTAGGGTGCTGCTGTCGACCAGTATCCAAGACCCTGCAAGTGGTACCAGAAGGCTTGCCTCATGTTTGAGTCTGGAGAAAAAGAAAACGAATGAGTCGTAATGTGTGAAGGATAGAAAAGTTATTCCAGAGAGCAGCAGGTCTTGAAACTTTGTTCCTAAGATTAGTAATCAATCATGCACAATAAAATTGTACTGTCATGTTCCACAGATGGCTCATGTGCTTGTTTGTGGGAGGTTAAAGATGATGTCAGTGGACTTCCCTGGCAGTCCAGTGGTTAAGACTCCACGCTTCCAATGCAGGGGGCACAGGTTGGATCCCTGGTTGGGGAACTAAGATCCCACATGCTGTGCAGCCAAAAATAATAAAATAAAACGATATCAAATATTGACTCGCGTGCACTGTGCATATGATCTCTGTGGCGGCAGAGCTGTTGGATTGGGCAGAAGATGACTGTTGATTGTTCGTGGTGGGGACTGAAGCAGGTCACTTCAGTTTTCAAAAAGAAACTGCATCTTCTCACATGCGCCTGTGTCACCCATTCCTTCCCCAGCCACGACTGGTGGACTGAGCAAGATGGATCACTGGCTGTGAAAGCCTGATTCCTCAGCACAGGGGAAGTGCTCCTATGGGCACTGTCAGTCCTCTTTTGTGGGCGTCTCTTGGGTGGGTTTCTTTCGCTGGGGAACAGGCCGAGGAAGATGGGAGATTTTGGTTTCTGTGGATACTGGGCTAGCTGGGATTTGCATAATGTATTTCAGAGACAGACAGTCTGGGGACACGGCCCAGGAGGAATGTAGAGGCACATGGAAACAGGTTGGAAGGTCTGGGTAGTCAGGCTCCATTTCAGCCGTCCTCTGGAGATGCGGGTCTGGAATCCTCCCCTACCTTCTGGAAAGCTGGCAACTTGGAGCCCCAAGGATCAAAGGATGTGGTGCGTGAGTGGCGTGCCCTACAGGGCATGGCATGTACTGGGGGGCTCAACAAATATTCCCGCTCTTTTGCTTCCCCTTTTATCTCAGCAGTGGACTAAGAGGATCCATCAATAAATAGGTTTAGCGTGTGAACCCTCCCTTGTTTATTTACAAAGCATTCCACCATGCCCCTCGTTTTTCCCTTCTCCGTTAATCGTATTTTTTATTTTTATTGTGGTAAAAATACACATAACATAAAAATTACAATCGCCTGGGACAACATTAAATGCACCAACATTCGAATTATAGGGGTCCCAGAAGAAGAAGAGAAAAAGAAAGCAACTAGGAAATATTTGAGGAGATTATAGTTGAAAACTTCCCTAATATGGGAAAGGAAATAATCAAGTCCAGGAGGCACAGAGAGTCCCATACAGGATAAATCCATGGAATAAAACGCCAAGACACATATTAATCAAACTATCAAAAATTAAATACAAACAAAAAATATTAAAAGCAGCAAAGGAAAAACAACAAATAACATACAAAGGAATCCCCATAAGCTTAACAGCTGATCTTTCAGAGAAACTCTGCAAGCGAGAAGAGAGTGGCAGGACATATTTAAAGTGATGAAAGAGACAAACCTACAACAAAGATTACTCTACCCAGCAGGGATCTATTCAGATTCGAAGTAGAAATTAAAACCTTTACAGACAAGCAAAAGCTAAGAGACTTCACCACCAAACCAGCTTTACAACAAATGCTAAAGGAACTCCACTAGGCAGGAAACACAAGAGAAGGAAAAGACCTACAATAACAAACCCAAAACAATTAAGAAAATTGTAATAGGAACATACATATCGATAACTACCTTAGATGTAAATGGATTAAATGCTCAAACCAAAAGACACAGACTGGTTGAATGGATACAAAAACAAGGCCCGTATATATGCTGTCTACAAGAGACCCACTTCACACCTAGGGACACACACAGACTGAAAGTGAGCGGATGGAGAAAGATATTCCATGCAAATGGAAATCAAAGGAAAGCTGGAGTAGCAATTCTCATATCAGACAAAGTAGACTTTAAAATAAAGACTATTACAAGAGACAAAGAAGAACACTACATAATGATCAAGGGATCAATCCAAGAAGATTGATATTTATGCACCCAACATAGGAGCACTTCAATATATAAGGC